CAGAATCTGGCAGAGCCACAGAGGGCCAGACCCCTGAGGCCGGTGGCCAGCAGAAGCAGAGAGAGTCTCTGTGAGAGAAGCACTCGCCCCGGGAGGCGCCACACCAAGCACTGGGAAGGGGAGGTGGTGTCACGGGCCTTTGTGCCCCCCTCAAATCAGTCCCAATATCTTGCCAGCAGTACTTTCCTGGGGGTGGAGCTCCCAGATACTGGGGAAGCCACAGGTGATTTTAGATGTCATAGGAGGCAAGGGAGAGCATGGAATGAGCCACGACTCCATTTCCACTCTGCGTGGCCTCCTCCTCCTGTTCCTCTTGGGCTACCGCGGAGCCTTCAGCAGCCCCTTCCATCTCTCGAGAAGCTATGGACACGGTTTTGTAGCCCGTGCATTTGTCCTCGTGGTTGCCTTCCGCTCCTGGCCAGCAGTGCTGGTTCTCCACTTAAACAGGAACCCACAGTCTCCTAGGTAAACAGGTCTAATTAAAAAGCGAGATGGCTGGGTTACTGTTGAGGCAATCCAGACAGAGTAGAACTTCTCCAGAGGGTGTCTGAAGCTGTCATCTCCATGGGAGAAAACCCCCAGGCCACTGTCCCAAGCAACGGCTGGCAGGTTCCCTTTCTGTAGCATGGGCGGGCTCAGCCCCTGTGTCACAGAGCGCCTTCAAGAGAAATTGGCAGCAGCATCGTCGTTGTTACTGAGCGCTGACCAGTCAGTTCTGGCTCACAGCGACCCCGTGTACAACTGAAGGGAATTGTGATGGTTAAGGATTATGTCAACTGGACACTCCTTGGTCAGAGTAGGGGTGGAGCCCAACCTGTCAATCACACCGTAGGGGTGTGGCCTTTTGTATAAGCGTGGAATCCTCTGTGGCCCTTCGCTTTCTGCAGGAGCTGGCGTTTGTGTCCGGTCCCTCCATCTCCTGTTGCCGCGCCTGTCAATCCCAGGACCTGTCCTCGGATTACAGGTGGTGGGTTCATCGGGCTGACTTTAGATTCATCGACCTCTGCACCCGCCAGCCTGTGGCCCCCCGCCAACTCTGCTTTGTCATCCTGCTTCCTGGTCATCGGCTCCCGTGTGTTAGGAGAAGCCTGCCTTGAATTGGACTGGACTTACCTGCTTCTACTACCGTGTAAGCCGCATAAAGCTTGGTACGCATCTCTGTAGGCACTTTCTTGGTATGAATTTCTGTATGCAAACACACGCACAAGCGTTACTGGTTTTGCTTCTGTGGATGGAGAACCCAGCCTCACACCACACAAACCCTGCTCAATCCCGTGCCATCATCACAATTATTATATGCAAGCCCATCGTGACGACCCCTCTCCTTGAGGGTCATCCTCTTTTTTGTTGAGCTACTACTTTACCAAGCATGTTCTTTTCCGGCGACTGGTCTCTTCTGATAACATGTCCAAAGAACACGACACACAGTCTCTCGCTCTAGACTGGACCCTAAGGAGCATGCTGGCCGTACTTTCCCCGAGACGGGTTTGTTTGTTTGTTCTTTGGCAGTCCGTGGGACTTTCGGTGTTCTCCACCAGCGCTGTAATTCAAATGCACCAGTCCTTCCTCAGCCTGCTTTACTGAACGCCCAGCTTCCACGTGCATAGGAAGCCATTGGAAACACCATGGCTCAGGGGTCAGGCACACCCTAGTCCTCAAAGTGACATCCTTGCTCTTCAACCCTTTAGAAGGTCTTGTGCCGCAGCTTGACCCAGGGCAGTGCATCATTTCACCTCTTGACTGCTGCTCCCGTGAACCCTGACGGTGGGTCCAAGCAAAATGCAATCTTTGACAAGATCAGCCTTTTTTGTCTGTTGTGCTTATTGTCTCTATCACATTGTCTGTTGGTCCAGTGGTGAGGATTTTGGCTTTCCTTTTTTTTCTCTTTATCACTGTGATGTGAGGTGGGGTAGAAGATAGCAAAACCTGGGAGAGCTGCGTGGTTAGGGATTGTGGACGTTGGGGAATCCTTAGGGCGAGTTGGTTGAGGGATTGCTCACTGGGAGGCCGAGGTTGGGGTGTCATCCCTGTCCTGGGAACGACCCACGTGTCATCGCCCCACACTCTCAGCCTTCCCCAAGCCAAGAAAGGAGAGAAACCCTGCAGTGGCTTTCTTCCCATGGAATGCCCGGTTCTACCTGCTGGGACTGATATTGGACGGTGTCATCCGAAACAGAGGAAGCAAACAAAACCCAAGGGGACGTGGGTGGGTCCGGCTTAAATGAAAGCAGAAAGTGAGAGGTGCAGCTCGGAGGCACCAGCTCTATCACTGGGCAGCAAACAGCAGGATCCCAAAGGCCACTGCAGGGCTCTTGTCAGGATGCGCTAGGTCCAGACTCTGCACTGGTGCCTGAGGGCACCTGACCTGCTGGTCTGCCTGTCTCCACCGGGGGCCTCTCCTTTCCCGAGATGGCACTGACTGGGCCCATATCAGCAGGTCTCAGAATGCCCCGCTCCCCACAGAGCCTCAAGATCAGTAGCTTCCACTGCAGTGAGCCCCCACTCATTCCCCTCCCCTCCCTTCAAGCCTCTGGGCCCGGAGGTAGAATGACTTGTTTAGACTAGGGTGTGAGTGAGTCCCTACATAAAACTGGCTGATCTGCAGAAAGTCATGCATGACCCAAAGGAATAACTTGCTCATCATGGGACTGCAGGCATGGGGAGAAGAGATGAAAATCCCTGCTAGTCCCCACCACAGAGCAGGACAAAGGCACTGGTCAGCAAAGCAAGAGGCGGCTTTCCCTGTGACCAGCTAGTGGGTCCACAGCATGGCACGGTACCCACGCAGGAAGCCAGCGCAAGCCAGGCCGAGCGACACACCACAGGCACAAGGCGGGCAAGGTCATGCTACCGAGGCGGCGGATGGAACTCCTGGTGGTCTTGGCAAAGCTGGAATTGGACAAGGTTGTCCTCCGGGAGATGAGGATGGGGATGCGGGTGGCTGGGGGGCGGTAGCTGGGCACATTGGGGAGGTGCTCTGCCAGGCTTGGAGGGGCAGGCCCAGGGGCCACCTGGCCAGGTGGCTCATCCTGCACCAGGCGATTCAGCTCCACGTCCCGGCCTGGGTTAGCCATGGTGCCAGGCCGGCGGAGGAGAGGCCCAAGGCACTGCAAGGGAGAAGACAGCATTGGGGGTGGGGGTGGGGATAGGTAAGAGGTCCCTCTCCACAGTGCTGACACTGACCACCTGGGGTCTGGCGGAGCCCGCAGTAGCTCCACTGAGGCCTGACGCGCACTCTTTTCCCGGGAGCTTCCTATCTAACATAGTCATGAAGTCAAGGGCCCCTGACCGCCCCTGCCCTTGCTGCACTTCCCACCTCAGACAGAAAACACAGGGGAATCAAAGAGCCTAGAACTCATGCCATCGTAGACTCGGACCCACAGAATGGGGAACTCGCCCCTTCTGAGCCTGATAGAATTTTCCAGCCCCCAAAACCCTGGAGGCCAATTATTCCACTTCCAACCAGAAGCAGTAACTGTTCCTGGGACCTTGGTCCTCAAACTGGGCCCCACTCTGGAACCACCTGGGGGTGGGGGGTTACAACTGCTAATTCTCAGGCCCACCCAGTTTGAGGAGAGCCTGACACTAAGGTTCCTTCAATCTCCCCAAGTAGTTCCAACCTACGGTACTATCTAGTATGCGAGGTCCGCGCCTCTCACATGCTCATGGGCAGACAAGGAAGGGTGGGCTGTGGTCGAAATGCAGATTCTGATCCAGCGGGTGGGGTGGGGCCCAAGGGTGAGCCTGCATTTGTAACCGGCTCCCAGCTGAGGCCGGTTCCACACCATTGAGGAATGGTGTGTGCCAACTGGGCATGCCTTGGGTGTCTCAAAGTGGGGTTCCCAGACTGCCTGCCTCTAGTCATCTGCGGGTGGCATGGAAAACTGGATGCCGCTCCTGCCTGTGTCCCCAACTCTGAATCTGCCCCCCCAGGGCTCCTGATGCCACTGATGTCTGGGAGACCCTGCTTGGCTCCGCACTGTGAGGACCCCTGAAAGCTGCCCCCCAGAGTCACGCACTGGACACACAGAGACTGGGTCCTGTGGGGGCCTGGGGCAGCAGCCGCCTGAGCAGAGGTGCCCCGAGCTGATGTGTCAGCAGTATTAGCAAACGGGCGTCAGTCCTGACCGGCCTGACCTACATGCACCGCAGCCATGCCGCCCACGGCGTAGAAGTTCCTGTGTAGGGCAATGGTTAAAGCTCTCTGCCAAAAATCAGGAGGTCAGTGTTTTGAAGCCATCAGGTGCTCCTGGGGAGAATGATGAGGCTGTCTGTTCCCATCAAGATGGACAGTTTTGAAAATCCAGAAGGGAGGGCACTTCTGCTCTGTGTGATGAGGCAGCTAATCCCTGGAACGGACTCAGTCAGCGGCGGGTGGCCGAGTGTGTGGGTGCTTCGGAAAAGGAGCCCGGGTAAAGCACTGACCCAGAGGGCTGGCTTTGAGCCACTCCCCAGAGGGCCCAGCAGTCTGCTTCTGTAAAGACTGGCAGCGTGGAAACCCTCTGGGCCGTTCTGGGATGCGGCGGGGAGTTGGCATCCGCACCGTGGCAGGGAGTGGCTCTGGGGGCTTGGGCCTTTGGGTTTGCCAACTTGGTGGTCAGCAGCCCCATGGGCATGCCAGTGCCAGTGCTCTGATAGGCACACAGTCCAAAAAGCTCAACTCACTGGCTTCATGTTGATGGCGACTTGTAGCGACCCTAGAGGGCTGGCCCTGTGAGTTTCTGAGACTGTCACTCTTTTATTTTTAATCATTTTATCGGGGGCTCCTACAACTCTTACCACAATCCATCCATCCATCCATTGTGTCAATCACATTTGTACATTTGTTGCCATCATCATTTTCAAAACATGGTCTTTCTACGTGAGCCCTGGGTGACGGTCACTCTTTCAGGGAGTAGAAAGTTTCGTCTTTCTCCTGCAGAGTGGCTGGTGGTTTGGAATTGGTTTCAAACTGCGGACTTTGTGGCTACCAGCCCAACTCGTAACCACGATGGCGCCAGGGGTCCTTGCAGGGACAATCTGTCCCCTGATTTTCCTGATTCGAGAGCCACAAAGGCTGGGAACTGGGTCTGGGTCCACCTGCCAGGAGGAGGGAGGAGTCTAATCTGGCCACACCCCTTGCAGATTCCCGAATCTGGACCGTCTGGCTCGCAGGGCGGCTGAAGGTGCCTGGGGTGTGCACTCCTACAACTCCACAGCCCCTGTCCTGCGATGCCCTCAACTCTTGTCCCCACCCATGCTGGGGTTCTCAGGGCTGAGGAGTGGGGGGTAAAGAGTAGCAAAGGCCATGGGCTGGGGCCCGTGTGGAAATCTAAGTGGGAGAAAAGCTCACGAGCCAGCCAGGGTGCAGTGTAGCACTGATGAAACACACAACTTTCCTCTAGTTTTTTTAATGCTTCCTCCCCCCACTATCATGACCCCAATTCTACTTTACAAATCTGGCTAGACCAGAGCATGTACACTGGTACAGATAAGAGCT